TAACTCTAGAACAACGTACTGCGGACACGAGACGAGGCGCCCACTGTTGTGGCGACGGTGTGGCATCATACAACATGCCAAAAGATCATGTGGATGTAATGTGGCGTAAGGCGAACCTCGACAAGCTTTTTTACCATGCTAGCAGATGTCACTCCGCCGCCATATAAGAAAACACCTTGATTAACATCATGTTTACGTTCGCCACATGCAAAGTTTCAGCATAATGTTTTGACATGCCACATCGCCGCGACAGTAGTGGTGCAGTGGGTGTCTGACATTAATCGAGGTACCCACTCGTGTGCATGTTTTGACATGCTAGCACATGCCACACCATGGACAGTGGACGACGCCTTAACATCCCGACCGATTAAGAAAATCCAGTCAAGAACATGGGGGGTACTAGGCATTATGTTTTGTTGGAAATCCTCTGAAAAAGTTTTCAGGAATAAAGTATTTCAATGTTTATATTTATTAAGAATATATACGCAAAAGTAGGAACCTGGCAATACAAAATCTCCCCCAATAACCCACCTAATTCGATGTGCAAAGTTAATGTTCACTTTATGCAACAGCTTTTGACCATCCATATTCAGTGTCATTACATGTTGCTAAATATGAACCATTCGCCAGTGTTATACCAACAATCAATACGAAACTAACGATTTTAAATTGGCTCACCACTTTAGTAGCCTATTGGTCCCAAGCAAACGATTAACGTACCCTATTCTATTTGAAATTCTATTACTACACTATGTTTGTTTTGATTCGCTATGAAAGTTTGACAGATAACATCAGGGGTGTGTGGATTCATGCAGAACATGCAGGGGTGAGTGAAATAGCTTGGGACTGCTTGGGACCGTTGTTCTGGTACTGAGTGAGCCAAAAATAATAATGATTTTCTTCGGGACCCAGTGGTCTTAGAGTTACCTCTATGGTTATACTGCGATACGCAGATGTATCATGAACAGAAACTAACGCACACAATCTATGCCGAATGGTACACACGAATATAAAGATTCTTTCGATGATACCGTCAGTAGTAAATCGTTTGTATGAACGTATTTGATCATCGATGAAGCAAGATTTATTTTTCTCTTATTCTTTATGTGCCATGATTCGTCGTTTCGCCGATACAAGGAAATCAGTTTAGTTTACTGACACATGGGAGTCCAACGGTTACGAAAATACACGTGAATTATTCAGTGGACAGTGAAAACTTCAAACACTGATTAACAACTAATCGATTATTTTTTGTTCGCTGTGATGTCATTTTTCCACCAATGAGAGTGCAAAACTTGTTTGAAACGATCGGTGATGATCCTCTGCAGAAGTTAATGCTTATATCGGCATGATATAACCGATTACAAATATGTTACTGTTTGGTTCGTTAGTCGATTAATCGATTATTCGAATGAAAATCGGCCATCACTAGATGAATGCGAAACATCATTTCAAATATTAAGGACCGTACATAAATAATGATACAATTTGAAAGGGACCGAGGCTAATCACAAATTACGCCCCCACGGTAACTGAAATACACACGTTGCTTTAGTTTTTTTGTTTTGATTTGAACAAAGTTGATTTTGTGTACAATGATTCTTTGACAGTGTGCAAAGAGTGCGTATCATTTTGTCATTTTTTTATGCATTTCAGTTTTGAGTAGAGTGAATGAGATAGAACCAAAACATTCTAGTACATTTGGTGAAAATGCTAGTTCAATCTAATAGTAGTGTTGCCATGTGGTACAATCCAGTAGTAGTGGTGTTGCCATGTGGTACACTGAAAAATTGCAATAGCAGGTTAGTCACCAAAGTTTTCGAGCCGCTCCGTCTGTCACTTCGTTTGTGCTACTACTAGATTGAACTAGCATTTTCACCAAATGTACTAGAATGTTTTGGTTCTATCTCTTTCACTCTACTCAAAACTAAAATGCATAAAAAAATGACTGAATGATACGCACTCTTTGCACACTGTCAAAGAATCATTGTACACAAAATCAACTTTGTTCAAATCAAAACAAAAAAAACTAACCCATCTGGTGGATGATGGCATAAGCTTCCAAGAAAATTCTATTACAGTGAACCACATTATTTAAATGGATTTGTTCGCCAGTTAGTCGTCTGTCACTTCGTTTGTGGTAGTAGTGATGCCATGTGGTACAATCCAGTAGTAGTGGTGTTGCCATGTGGTACACTGAAAAATTGCAATAGCAGGTGCGTCACCAAAGTTTTCGAGCCGCTCCGTCTGTCACTTCGTTTGTGAAATTGTTAATATGATATATTTGATTTCACATTAATGCTTTGGAAAAATATGCGTTCACAATCTTTCATAATTTCGTTAGATGTTCCATTTTCGATTTTCACTAAGTGTACCCCCATATAGAAATCACAGACGTAGTCCCACGTCAAAATTATAGCATGCTCCCATTTATCCGATAGATTTGTGAATAAATAATTCGACTATCAACGACTGTTGGATTAACAAGAGCCGGAATAGCGGGAGAATACTGTAATAAAACATTTATTTTAGAAATAAAAGCATTTTAAAATTCTAATCCTATTGGCAATCTAACGATAGCATAAAGTGCCACTTGTGGCAAATAGGAGAACTAGAAAACAGATTATGGTATCATAATTTTGCACGGCAAGGTATGGGAAAATATTTTAAAAATGCTTCTATTTAACGAATAAAATATTTTCTATAAATAAGGTTGTGCATACAATGTTAGAAAAGTTTAAATCCAAACGAAAACTAAGAAATACAATAAATTTTAAAATTATACGTATATTGGATAGCTGTTGAGGTTTCTTCCCCCGTAGCAGCTTTTAAAAAAATGACAAATATTTTTTTCGAATAATAAATGCTTTTCAAGATTTTTTCCTATACCTCAACGTGCAACATTGGGCCGTATGAATAAAAAGAGTTTACTTTACTTTCCCGTGCTTTTCTTACGGGAAACGTAAAGTAAACGCTTTCAAACAAAATATTCCACGGGGTGGTATACGAGTGCAATCTTAAAATGCTTTTATTTTGCAAATGGAGCATTTTATTTAAATTTGGTTGCTGCTACAGTTGTAGAAAAGCTGAAATCTATGTCTACACATAAAAATCTGAAAAGACATTATTTTTTCTATATTATATGTCTATTAAGTAGTCCTTCAGTTTTCTACTAGCGTAGCATTGTAGAAAATGCTCCATTTGCAAAATAAAAGCATTTTAAGATTGCTCTCGTATACCTCACAGATTAAAATTTTGAAACCATCATCACTCTCATAGTTCTTCTATTCTCCTTGAGTGCCAACTTTGATTTGCCAATTCATACGACCTATTTTAGGGTGAATCGCTGTGACATCCTTATTCTCGGAACCACTTCGAAACTTTAAGTACACAAATATCAGCTTGTACAATACGTGCAACATTCAAATTGTTACTCCACGTTTACTGCACTGCAGCATACATGAAGTAGCAATTTCAGGTGAAATGGGGCACCGATCTCCGAGATTTGTGTAATTGAAAATTCGAAGTGGAAGTGCATGTATAGCGTACGTGGTGGCCATTTGTGGACTCTACGAGGAATCACCTTAAGACCATCATTAAGAGATGAACTAGCCTATGGCTAAAAATCTCTTTAATAAAGAAAAAAAAATAAGACCATCATCATTCTTCTATTTCTCCTATTCGCCACGAGCGCTATCGGTTAGATCGCCAATACCGTTAAGTTAAAGTTGAGTTTGCGAGCCTCATTTCGATTGTGCTTTGGACACTGTCAAATATCATAGCGCACAAAATCAACTTTATTCAAATCAAAACAAAAATACTAGCCCATCTGGTGGCTGATGGCACAAGCAGCTAAGAAAATTCTTTTACAGCGAACCACATTACACTCGGGTATTTTTTTACACGGGGGATGTACCGTGTAAAAAAACCTACCGAGATTTTGATTTTTCACATGCTTAAACTGCCGTTATACGCATAAGAGGCCACAGTGCTTAAGCATTGCATAGAACATTCTGTATTTATACAAAAAATTGTATTTTTTTTTTAAGGTATGCCATTCGATTACCTATAGCTTGAAACGGATAATGTGATTGGAATTAAGTCGATAGGTTGTATCGTTGTCGAGAAATCGTTAAAAACGTACCGTGTAAATCGCGAAAAACCGTGTAAAGAACATTGTAATAAAAAAAACGCGTGTAAAAAAAACGCGTAAAAAAACTGGGTAAAAAAAGACCAAAAGTGTATTTTAATTGATTTCTTCGCCAGTTAATCGACTGTCACTTTGTTTGTGGTTTTAACCACGTAGTGCTAACTCAATTTAATTAAAATGCCTCAATAATTTATTACAAGCATTTAAAAACTTCTCTATCATGCCTCACCGTGAAGGAATTATGAAACCATCATCATGTTTTTAGTTCTTATGTTCACCGTGGGGATCAACTTTATGGAAGATGTTCATTTAAAGCAAACAATACGTAGCAAATGGCACTCTTGTTCTGCTAAACTGAACTATCCTCCATTTAATATACCTTGTTCATCAATTTTCAATAGCAAACCATTGATCAACAACTATTATCTTTATACTAAACAAATCTTTGCAAAAAATCTTGTATTTTTTTTCAAAATGGTGTCTTTAACATTTTGTATTAAATTGTAGCACGAAATCGTCCCTTCTAATCAAAGTGATGTCTGAGATAAAGTTGTCTGAAAAAGGAAAGTCTTTCTGGGAAAATATACAAGTGTGGGGTTTTCCGGTTTTCAACTGTACCGATTATACGAGGGTTGAAAAATAGAAGTAGGTTGAAAATTGGTACACTCACCATTTTCTCTTTTCTCAAACCAGAACTCAGCCAACTCATTATCAAAACTTAACGGAGATCGCATAACTCCTGCCGCAGCCATATCGCTTTCTGTCAAAATCTGTTTCTCAAACATCACCTCATCGGCCTCGACCAACGTTGTCTACAAAACATCTGGCAGTGTGAATTTAGTATTTCTTGCTCTTGCTCTTGCTCTCTATTTCTGTTTTAAGAAATGGGTAGTATGACGTTGCTTATTCGTTATTCGTTGCTCCTCGCAAAACAAGAGGAAAAGAAAGAGACGGCCTGTTTTATACTAACAGACTTAGTGTTTTTACATGGAACCACGACACCCTTCAACCTTGACTTCTGCCACCATAAAACATGCTACAAAAATCAACTGTGCTATTATAGCTCACGAGTCGTGCAGCATCTATTTTAAATCGGCATCTTTTTATCGTAATATACATTATTGCAAACGTTTGATTTATTGTACAATTTCTAGAACAATCATTTGTGTTTTCTTAAAAAAAAACTTTCGGTTATGGTAAGTTTTTTTTTTTCTATTTTGGAGAAGAGAAAATTCAAATCGTGCCCTACTAGTTTTATATTTAGCACAGCTGTTTTTGTTCATTGCTGTTGTGAGTAAGAAGCTCCTTTGGACACTTCCGGTGCTTTGAGATTAGTAAAACATTAAATAATGTGTATGACACCAAGAATATGGATACATATTGCCTTAAAAGGTACTACTAGTTTGTGTCCTTGTTCTCAAGTATCTCGCACCTTGGCACATAAACGATTCCTGCCGAGTTTTTCATTTATCGAACTGTTATTGACAAAAATAGTCGGAAATGTATGCGTGGCCTAGATCCAAAAATATATCGATGGAGATTTATCAATTTTCAAAAACCGCAATCTCTTTTACACCAGTGGATCAAAATTTTAAACTGAATCTAATGGCCCAACCCTTGGGGAATGTCATAGAGAGTGTACCGAACTTCAAGAGTAACACTTATTTTAGTTAAAAATTAATGGATAAAGTTTAAGAACAGTCTATCAATGTGTGAAATTTTGATTTCCAACACTTAATATGTCTCAAATACCTATCAAATATTAAAACAAAATTGAGGGCCCAGAGCCTACGTTGAAAAAATGCTCTGAGTATAAAAGATACGCCATGAGTATAATATTTAAAAACACCACACAAAAGATTAGTTAGTTATCTTTATTAGGGAGACTTTCAGCCGAACGCTGGTTCGTCTCAGGGAACACACAAAAGATTAATAACAAGTTTGTGTTTGAGTTTTGGGTCTCATTATGGAAGTCGAAACGAAGCATGAACGCTAAGTAGTATGAAATGTGGACCCAGGTCTACAGAAACGAACTAGAAATACTCACAGTATTTCTCAAACGAACGATCAAACTGAAGTTTGTCAGAAATCAAGCAAATTCTAATTTGAAAACTAAATCAGCTTGAACCAGAATGAAAAGCAAATTCAGTATGAATTTCAATTCTGCTGAATAAGTGTGATTTGGTATTTCTAATTCTAGACGTAGAAATGCAGAATAATTGTTAACATCCAACATCAGCGTATCGAGAAAAAAAAATCAATTTATCGCTGATTTGATTGAAAATAGTTTTAGAACTTCGACAAATAATTCTGCTAGTTTATAATTTATGTTTTGAGGTGTAGTTTCTTTAATATGGTTCAAGATCTCTAGTCGGAATCTTAATTTTGAATGAGGCTTTGAAGACTTATGAGATCTAACTGAAGGTGGATAAATGTTGGTATTTTACCCTCACTTTTCTAAAATGCTATATAATATTCCAGGATGCAACATACAACTATAATCCAAATGGCACATTGAACGGTGACTAAACCAGTTTTCAAAGAGCCATCAATTGCTCTAAATTTTATTAATCCGAGATTTGAATATACTTTTCATGTCAAGCTATATTTGAACATTTCCGTATCATGATAGCATGTTGTTATTGTTTCTTTATTAAGGAGACCAAGGCTTATGCAGGATTGACACCATGATTCAGTCATGAATCCGATCTGATACCCCGTTTACATTACAGCCTATATTTAGTGATATTGAGTAACTTGATATCAAACGTCATACGCATTATTTACAGTGATCCAAAGTTGTTAAAAAAATGTCAAATGCAAAATTTGCGTACTAATAACTTAATAATGTTTAATCTGAAGAACTTCTGGTTTGAAATCCTGTAGCAAATGTTGGGAATGAGGGCAGTGCGGGCAGCGATATAGCTAGATATATCGCTGCCTGCACTGCTCTCATTCCCTACAGCAAATTGATTACAATCGATTAAAAAAAATTACTTTATTTTTAAACTGGAAATATTACAAAATATTGAACTTATAAAATTGAAGTTGGGAAGAAATTTCATGATAAACAATTTATTAAATGAACACGTTTCTTTTTGTGTGACCTGTACACACGCGTCTAAGTTATTTCACGACCATTAACCTGCAATAAACCTTTCATAGTGGCGTGCATTTTTTGAATTGCAAGAGCGTCTCTGCGGTGTCGGTTAATTTTAGAATTACAACAATGGTTATTTTTATCGCGAGGCGCACCGAGCGTTTTATGAATGAATACTTCTCTGTTGCTACTACCTCAAACTATGTAAAATTCAATTCTTACTAAGTTGTCATACTTTTTCCTTTTTTAGGGAAAATCTTCGGTTTCCGACTCCTACATAGTTGCGCCGATTCACCATCATGAAAAATTACTGGACCAGTGCATACAGTTGATAAATTCAGAATGGCCTCGTTCATACACTGCACGCCTTTGGAGTTTAAAATCATCCAAAGATACATTACCAACCAGTATGATATTGATCGATAACATTAATAACAAAGAATCGACAGTTCTTGCGCACGCTAAGTTGTCTTCGATTCCCTCCGACGTGGAAGCCGCCTTCATCGAAACAGTCGTCGTAGACCGACGATATCGGGGAAAAGGTCTCGGGAAGTTTCTAATGATCGAAGTGGAAAATCATTGCTTTGAAACCCTTAATCTTAAAACTATATATTTGTCAACTATTGACCAAGAGGGATTTTATTTAAAACTAGGATTTAATTTCTGCAAGGCGATGAACATGTTTGGAACTCGAAGTGGTGTGAACACTTCCACAAAGAAAATATGGATGAAAAAAAAATACAGCGAATGGAAACGTCCTGAGGTTCATTCTTCTGACAATAATCAAACGAATTGATATAGATGATAATAATAAACCGGTGAGTAGGATTGTCCGGCCTTAGTAGCAGGCATCCAAGAATATCACATGTGGACTTCAATGGATTATGTTACTTAACTAATTCATAAAATTTCCCACTCACCTCTTAAATACCTGAATGTCATACATTTTAATATAAATAAAACTCGCACTAATTCACAGGTACATTTTAGTCCTAACTTGCTATTGAAACATGTTGCAAAGCTTATATATCTTTGAAGTAAATTGTTTTGTTTCTACACAACTTGATTTTTTATTGGATTTTTTTCCACAGTAGGTATAAATAAAAACCCAGATCGATCCATATATCGAGGATTAATTCATTTTGTGTGACAGCTAGTAGGTGCTCTCTATTACCGATCTGTACGAGAACTGATGTTTGGAATAGGATGGCGGTCATAAATTATTATTATGAATTAAACTGCTTTAATTAAGTTTTGATTTGGAAAAATGTTCCCCGAATTTTGGGTTTTTTCACGTTTATGCCTGTTCTGCGAGTCGTGTGACTCTGGTCAGAGATGGTGTTTAAAAAAAAACGCGCGGAGAGAATAAAAGTAAATCTAGTTGTCCAAATAAGTTATTTTGTGTGCAAAGCTTGGTAACCCGCAATTTTGTGTTAACTTCAAGTGACTTTTAATTTAAGCGACTGTCGTCTTCTTCAGCGGGTGAAACGAATACTTTTGTAGTCATTATTTGAAAAATTCTATTGTAAAGCACGGCATCCTTCTGTAAAAAAAAACACGAATAAAATGTGACAAATTGTTAGTTTCTGGTTTCCCAAAGATAGCGTCGTCAGGGAAAAGTGGTTTCAATTCTGTCGGTTTCCTCCCGATCAAAGCGTAACGGAAAACTCTCGATTATGTAGTGTAAGCAATCTACCATATAGATAAATGAATTTTCGTTTAGATGAAAGCCGATTTGAAACTGATTTATTATATTTCAGCTACATTTCAATTGTAATTACCATTTAGATTTATGCATGTCATCGGATAGCGGAAAACTATTAGCAGCTCCGGGTGCAGTTCATTTTTTTTAGTTGTTGCAATAATAATAATAATAAATTTATGATGATGTAAAAGATTATAATAGACCTGACGTGATAGATGATTTATACTTTTCATACCCAAATTAATTAATAACTTCGAACTGTTCAAAAATAGAACAAAACGTAGGCCTATCTAGAAGAATGATGAATCTTGAAATAAATTCACGTTTAAAAAAGTTTGAAATAGTGACTTATTACAAGAAAAAGTGACTTTAGTGACTTGGTCTTAAAAAAAGAAACTTTTTAGTGACTAGCTTGAAAAAAGTGACCAAGTCACTAAAAAGTGACTCGCTACCAGCCCTGGTATTGTGATGGAGGTTGACATTTAAGAAATTTTCAAGTCAAGTCTAAAACATCAAACATTTATTTGGTACGCCATCAGAACGACTAATTTTCTTCCTTAGTGTCGTGTCTTTTCGGATATTTCGCATCTCTGAAGTAAACAACAACTCATTGATCTTGCTTCACTAAAGCCAATCACAAGACTGTCTTTTATTTTTATTTCTCTGTTTCTCTCCTGTTATACAATCGTTCTCATCCCACCTTCCTCTCCCTCTATTACTCCTTTGTCGACTTCTCACTCTCTCTACTTCTCTCCCTCTTATTATTCAGTTATTTCAAAACCCTTTTCAATCCCGTTATGATTTTTCCGAGTTTTTCTCAGTAACCCTCTCATCTTTCTTTACGAGCTTCTCGAATTCAATCATATTTTTCTTGCTATCCCTCTTGATCCCTACACTTAGGTCACTTTTTAGTCACTTTTTAGTTACTTTTTTACAACTATAAGTCACTATTTGGTCACTTATTTCTTCAACATGGTCACTAAAATCACTATTTTTGACAGCATTGAACGCTACCAGCACTGCAATACTCCTCACGCCTTTCCTCGTGCAGTGCTCGTGTTTATTTACAGTGCTCGATTGGAACCGCGTTTGACGGTTCGATTGGAACTTAATACCCCGGACAGACTATGGCTTATATTATGTAATATAGGCTAGCTTGCAATGAGCACTCATACATCTAGTTTTCACTGGAAATCCTATATATGAGTGCTCATTGCAAGCCAGCCTATATAACATGATATAAGCCATAGTCTGTCCGGAGTAGGCTCTGAACCATTTGGTGGATTATTTTAACTTTTGGTTAAAATTTGACAGATGGAAAGTTATCGATTAACCCTGCTATCCGAGCGTGGTTACTTCTGACAGACAAGAAGTTAAATTTTGACAACCTTCGCTAAGTTCTTCTCGAAAACCGGTCGATCGACAGCGCAGGGATTTTCGAACATACAAAATAACTTCCGAAATGTCACTTTTAACGACGAGTTAAATTTAATTCGGCAAATGGTTCACAGCCTAACCCTGCTAACCGAGCGTGGCTATTTCTGACAGACAAGAAGTTAAATTTTGACGACCGTGGCTCGAAAACCGGTCGATCGACAGCACGGGGATTTTCGAACATAAGAAATAACTTTCGAAATGTCACTTTTAACTACGAGTTATATTTAACTCGGCAAATGGTTCACAGCCTAAGGTAAATTTCTGCAGTTTTCGGTAAATTTCTGCAAATTACGGAAATTCAGCAGTTATGATTGCGGAAAATGGGTAATATAATATTGTTTACAAAGTATTCGGTAAAAATGATATTTCACCGAACAAATCCAGCAAAAAACGTACCGAACAAGATTTATGAAATTTGGTGTGTAGTGTGTACACACTAAGATTTTTTACAGTATACTGTAATTTTTTACCGAATATGGAACAGCGGTAATCGATTCGGTTTTTTCGGGTTCTCCAGGTCCAGGTCCAGCAAGAAATCCAAACAAGGTTATCGAGGGCAACGTGCGCACACATGACATTGGCTTTTTGCAGCTGAGGGAAACATTAGGTCGCCTTAAGTCCAAGATGACTGGAAGCGATGGCCTAGGATTGAATTGAAGGTAAAATAATTATCCACTCGTAGATTCAGCGGACTAAAGCAAAATATTAAAGTACACGCAGAAAAAAATATTTTAAACGTAATAATATTTGACGTAAATGCAATAAGAATTTCATTTTGTTTTGGTTGCAAAAAGAAATCATTATTGTTTCAACAATCCAGTATTGTTGTCCCCTAAAACCTCGCCTAAAACCCATGGATTGTTAAATGAAAAAGAAAATCTTTTCGAATTTACAAGAGCTTTCATGGTTTTGACGTAAGCTGTCAAATTTGGCAGCTGGGTCAACAAGAAAAATATGTTTGTTTTTAAACGAGATTTCTTGTTGATTCAATCAAATTTATTTTATGAAGTCTGACAATTCACGCAGTAGAAATAACAATGTGTTTATTGATTCAAAAATAATGTCGATTTTTTTTTGTGTTTTGTTTATTGCCTCTAAAATGTAATTTTTACAGAAATCATTAATTGACATGATTTCTGTTATGCTTAAATCTAACTCCATGGGGCCTCATAGCATAGTCAGTAAAGGCACAGTATTACCAAGCCGGAGACGGCGGGTTTGATTCCCCGATTCCTTTCGGGTTGGAAATTTTCTCGACTTCCCTGGGCATAGAGTATCATCACAAACGAAGTGACAGACGGAGCGGCTCGAAAACTTTGGTGACTAACCTGCTATTGCAATTTTTCAGTGTACCACATGACAACACTACTACCACTGGATTGTACCACATGGCAACACTACTACCATAGAGGTAACTCTAAGACCACTGGGTCCCGAAGAAAATCATTATTATTTTTGGCTCACTCAGTACCAGAACAACGGTCCCAAGCAGTCCCAAGCTATTTCACTCACCCCTGCATGTTCTGCATGAATCCACACACCCCTGATGTTATCTGTCAAACTTTCATAGCGAATCAAAACAAACATAGTGTAGTAATAGAATTTCAACTAGAATAGGGTACGTTAATTGTTTGCTTGGGACCAATAGGCTACTAAAGTGGTGAGCCAATTTAAAATCGTTAGTTTCGTATTGATTGTTGCTACTACTGGATTGAACTATAGTTGCTATAGCATTTTCACCAAATGTACTAGAATGTTTTGGTTCTATCTCTTTCACTCTACTCAAAACTGAAATGCACAAAAAAATGACAAAATGATATACACTCTTTGCACACTATCAAAGAATCATTGAACACAAAATCAACTTTGTGCAAAACCAAAACAAAAATACTATCCCATCTGGTGGATGATGACACAAGCTTCTAAGAAAATTCTATTACAGCGAACCACATTATTTTAATTGATTTCTTCAGTTAGTCGTCTGTCACTTCGTTTGTGGTATCATTGTGCTTGCCTCGCAATATACAAATTCATGCATTGGTATTGGCATCGAAAGCTCTCAATTAATAACTGTGCACTATGCAATAAGCACAGACAAACAGACATAACACATTGAATATTTCTCACTGTAGAACATCGTCGCTAAAACATTACCGCCATCTGTTGAGTACACTGTGGTGGGCACTACACTGAACAGATGGCGGTAGTGTGTAAACGTCAAACGCAAGGGAATTGACTATGCGCGCCACAGGTGGCGGTACTACCAACTACGATACTTTTAAATTGTCCGTTAAATGCTTGTTCGATGAACAACTTGCGAGAGTTATGTCTGTTTGTCTGTGCAATAAGCTTGAAATACGAATAAGGAGAAGAAGAAGAAGTAAATCTAACTCCATGTTTGATGCTATTCAAACTGGAGTAAAATTTGCTAATAATATTGTCATGACTTTAAAATTCAGTAATGGATTTTAAAGCATTAAATATTTTAAATTGGAATGCTCGATCTCTTAAAGATAATGAAGACGAGCTATTTAACTTGTTGAGAGTTCATAACGTGCATATTGCCGTTATAACTGAGACGTTCCTTAAACCTGACCATAAGGTTAAGAAGGACGCACATTATTTCATTTATATAAATGATCGTCTTGATGGACATGTGGTGGCGTTGCCATCATTGTTCATAGACGAATCAAACATAAAATTCTTTCTTCATTTGAAACCAAAGTTTTTGAAACTTTGGGAGTTTCTGTTGAAACAAAATTTGGACAACTTACGTTTATAGCTGCCTATTTGCCATTCCAATGCGTAGGCCAGCAAAAGAATTTTCTCAAGGGTGACCACCAGAAACTTACCCGTCATAGGTCTAAATTCTTCATTATTGGTGATTTAATGCAAAACACCGCTCATGGAATAATGCTCAAAGCAATTCCAATGGTAATATTCTGTTTGATGATTGTTAACCTGCATTACACTATTCAATATCCAAACAGCCCAACATGCTTTTCTTCTGCAAGAAATCCCTCTACTATTGATTTGGTCTTAACTGATTCATGTCAACTTTGTAGCCAATTGGTTACTCATGCTGACTTCGGTTCTGATCACCTTCCAGTAACTTTTGAAATATCGCAAGAAATAATTTGTATTCCCAACAGCTCTACTTTCAATTACCATAGAGCTGATTGGGAGCAATATCGAACATTTATGGAATATAACTTCGATCCAAACATTCCTTTGCAAACCAAAGATGAAATTAATTATGCTCTTGAATCTCTGACTACTTCTATAGTTGAAGCAAGAGCTGCCTCAGTTCCAAAAGGCGAGGTTAAATTCGATTCAATTATAATAGACGACGATCTTCAGCTCTTGATCCGTCTTAAAAATGTCCGTAGGAGGCAATATCAAAGAACACGCGATCCTGCCATAAAAGTTATCTGGCGGGATTTGCAAAAACAAATTAAAAAGCGATTCTCTGCCCTGAGGAACAAAACTTTTGAAAATAATGTTTCTAAATTAGACCCGAGTTCCAAACCCTTTTGGAAACTCATAAAAATGTAAAAAAAAACATCAAAAGCCTATTCCCAACAATCAATACGAAACTAACGATTTCAAATTGGCTCACTACTTGACTAGCCTATTGGTCCCAAGCAAACGATTAACGTACTCCATTCTAGTCGAAATTCTACTACTACACAATGTATGTTTTGATTCGCTATGAAAGTTTGACAGATAAAATGAGGGTTTAGTGGATTTTCCTATGTTTTGAGG